ACTTAACCGATACACTCAACAATCGCGCTAAACAAACGCTATAGCAACGAACGTCAATAATACTCCGACCGCAGATCAATTACTCACTCTCTGCCTGCACACATTACCTTCCCCTCTTTTATATACCAGCGTAACCTATTTCTAGCAAGAAGTAGAACATTCGCCAAAGTACATGATAGTTCTAGAAACAAGAGAGCGTGAGAATTGTCACGTGATCTCGATGACGCAACAATATTCAGCTAAGTTTGCCATCATTACAATTTTATATTTACTTTACTTTGCAATAATTAAGAATCGGTTCACTCATAACTGTTTCATACTCTGTACACCATTATAAATACCCTTACTTGACTTTATTGTTTACCTTACGTGTAGTTTTATTAAATACATTTTTCGTACGTGTAGTCATATTAAATAAAATTACATCTACATGAGTTTGTTTGTGTGACCTCGTAAAATTTTTACAAATAAACCTGGAGTTATCGATCTAACACATGATGCCTGCAAGAAAGGGTAGCTTACATGGCGTGAGTGCAAATGATAGAATAAAGAAAATTTAAGTGAAGGGCATGAAAACTGCCGCAAATGTTTTGCAGCTCGAGGCTGGTATTTAATAATGGCAAAACCTAATAGCCCAAACTCTCAAGTAAATGCATGAACTGTAATGTTTTGAACAAAAATTAATCTTATACTTTTTCTGTTGGGAAGGAAAGGACGAAATGCATATTAGCACTATTAAAATGTATTACGTTAAAAAATATATAAAAAAATACATTAGTCAGTTGCATAAAATCGCTTACTTCAAAATAAATAAATAAATTCGAAAGAAAATTCAAATACACCATATATCCAAATACAACACTTCCTGAAGTTTCTATCTTTCCTACCATAGGCTAGTTCCAACCTGACAACTAACTTTAATTTGACTATCAGTGAATTTAAATTCGCACAGAAACTAACTAGGATGACTAATTACTTACAAGCACCTGAATACACCTGCTCTGTATTAAAATTTTTGTAATGGGATGTTAAGTAAATTGAGACGTTGCAATGTGATTTATTTTACCGTTATAACAGTACAGTTAGTTTAGCAACAGTTTGACTGTTCGCCACCTAAAACTAACTCTCTTTGCTACATCTTAAAAGAAGCAAAGGAAAAATGATACAGTTAATCCTTTGCCATAGAAATATAAAACAAGTATAATACCAATACATGTAAGAGAAGCTTGTCTCCTGGTCATGCACAACTCAATAAACCAGTAAGGGAATAGATGTACTAACATGTAACTATGATGTGCAGTTGTAAAATTTCACGAGCTTTGGGTGCATTAAGCTAGAAGTGGATTGTTCGAACCGAACTAAACTTGAATTTTCAATAGAAAATTTATCAGATGTGCAAAGTTCATCACAAAATAATTCAATGTAAAAATATATATATTCAATACGAACCTGTGGGCAGTGATTTGTGGGAGACAAAAACTAGATCTGAAATGATTTTTTTCCTATTCTTACATAGTGTAGGTTATTCAACAACTACTGATACATTAGCTGTATTCAGCCATTCCCTGAACTCCCAGTGTGTCACTAGGAAATTCTTCCATCTCCTTATTCAACTACTGATACATTAGCTGTATTCAGCCATTCCCTGAACTCCCAGTGTGTCACTAGGAAATTCTTCCATCTCCTTATTCAACTACTGATACATTTATTCTATCCAACTCCCAGTGTATCGCTTGGAAGTTTCTTCCTTATTCTTACATTATGTCTTTAAATGGCTCGTTAGGCAATAACATCAGATCAAGTTATTTTGCCTAAATTCCACGCTAATAGTTCGAAAGACCCTTCCTTATTTTCAACAATGAATTATTCTCGGGAATAGTTTAGTATATTTTGAACTCTATGTCCGCCTGATGTCCAGTTTTGCTATATTTCGGTTTCAAGCTCCGAGCGTTAAACTCATTATGTTAGACAAACTTCAGAACAATTTCATAGACAATTCGCTGTCTAATCTATTGATGTTTTGTAATAAACTGTTTTTAATAAATACAAGTAAGTAAAAATATGTTATAAACTAATGTAGAGTATTATCGTTTAATTGTCTAAAAAAAATGTACACAAGCTCTAACCAAAACTTAAAAACAGAAGTAATTTATTAAGATTGTTTGAAGTACAAAGTTTAACAGAATTTTCATCACTGTAGGAGCCGAATTGTACATTTTAGCGTTATAAACTCTAAAGCTGACCACTGAACCAATAAAGAGGGGAGTAGTTTATTACGAACAGTTTTTAAAATGTGTTATTTTTCACACACGCGGAAATTGCTATGCTATAACAACACATTGAGGTTGTACATTGTACAAAATGAAAAGTAACTGTACTTGGAAAATTGAAGTACCCTTAAAAGAATCTGCAGCTGAGTACAAAGTGAAAGCTAAACCTAGACATCCATGGATCAGCAATGAAACTTTACTGCTGGTGGAAGAGAGAAGGGAACTCAGACACAGACAGACCGAAGAAAGCAAGCAGCGATATAAGGACTTGTGTAAGAAAATCAAGAGAAGTGCGAAGCAAGACAAGAGTAAATGGATTGAAAAAAGATGCGCAGAAGCAGATAGACAGTTTGGAATGTCGAAAACTAGAGAAGCATATCAGATTGTAAAGGAGATCAAAGGACAAAGAAGATTCAATATGAGGGCGATAAATGACAAAAACGGAAAGCTGATGACAGAAGCAGAAGACATCAGTAAGCGATTGACAGAATATTAAACAGAGCTTTTTACAAGAACAGAAAACTATGATCAACATGTGCTGCAAGAATTACGAGAAAGAACTGGAGAATATATGCATGAGGGCAATGATGACATACTAGAGGAGGAAGTTGAAAGAGCGATCCTTGCACTGAAGAATAACAAGTCAACTAGCCTAGATGAGATTCCTTGAGAAAGTGATGGAAAAAATGGAATGTTCGGAACGTGGTGGCCTAAAGATACAAGGGCAAGTTGTCAAAGATCTAAGATTTGCAGATGACATTGACCTCATCGCAAAAGATGAAAGCGATCTACAATATGTCATGAAAGCAAACGGTATGGTCTAAAAGTTAATAGAACAAAGACAAAAGTCATGACCTTGGGCAGAGAAAGAACTGTCACTGATATCAAGACTGATGGAGAAAGCTTAGAAAATGTGGACCAATTTGTGTACCTTGGTAGTCTTATCACATACGACAATGACTGCACCAAAGAAATACAAAGAAGAATTGGAATTGCAACAGGCATGTTTGAAAATCTGAAGAATGTTTGGAAGAGCAGGAATATTACAATGGTCACCAAGCTCAAACTGTTAAACACCTGTGTCTTTTCAAGCCTGCTATATGCATGGGAAAGCTGGACTCTAAAGAAACGAGACATGCAAAGGCTAAACAGCTTTGAGATGAAGTGCTATAGAAAAATCTTGGGATTACATTGGAATGAGTATGTGACAAATGTCAGAATCAGAAAAATGACTAAGAGACAAAAAGAGGTGACGGAGAAAGTGAAGGAAAGGAAACTTGGCTTATTCGGACATATCTGCAGGATGAAAGAAAGCAGATTAATAAAAACAGTTCTGCTAGGTACGGTCGAAGGATCAAGAAGAAAAGGTCGTCCAAGGCGGAAGTGGCTTGATGATGTCAAGGATTGGTGTAACTCAGACATCATAACAGCTGTTAGGGCAGTCCAAAACAGACGTGGTTTTTGGGCTAGGAAGTAATGACAGAGATCTGTCATCGGCTCAACAGTCCGCAAGGACT